TTTCATTCCTAATACCAATGTCTTTCAATGTTTTCAGAAAACCCGGATAATAGCCTTCATAGCCTTGTTAATTTTTCTTATCTTATGTACCTATTTTCGACACAGTCATCGGGCTGATTTGATTTCGAAATCAGACCGATAAATATAAAGAAATATTATTGATGCAATAATGATAATAAAACACGGGTAATTATGTTGTTATTTTTTTATTACTGGAAACATATAATTTTCTGTTGCTTGTGAATGGAATTATTCCAATCAGAATTCCTGATATAATAATCCAAAAGGTTGCCTGGTAAAAGGATTGGTGCCAAGAGTTTGTCAAATCAAAAAGCCATCCTAAAATTATATAAATTATTATAAAATCAATTCGTGTTGTAATCGGTCTGTTGGTATTTGATTTTTTAATGTTTTCATTTCCTTATATAGGTTGAGCCAATAAAAACGAAACAATATCAAGTCAGATGACCTTGTTCGTCATTCCTCTGGTTCTCTTCGACCGAACCATCTGTCAGAAAATATCTCACTCGACCAAGCAGGTGCCCAATTTTGTGAAAATATCAACTCAATAGCATTATAACGGTCACTGTATTAAAAAATGACAAGAATACCGATATCAAGAATATCAAAAACCGAGATGTTAATAGTCATCACTTTCAAAAAATGTAACTGTTTTTTGTTTTATATGCATTGAGTCGCAAGTCCTACATTATAAACAAACAAGTAAAGCAATTCTTGTTCTTACTTTCTACACAATTATTTTTTAAAATGAAAACAGCGTAATATTGTTTCGTGTCATAGCGATTTTACCGAATGCATAAAATTTTGAAGAAAAATCGATTTCTTACAAACGAAGTGTTACTTGAATCCTAATCCCATTCGAAATTTAATGATTAGATCGCACCCTATCGGTGGGGGGTATTGGAAGTGACTAGATTGAAAATATGCTTGGAATATTTTTCTGAACGCCAACTATGTAAAACTGTCCTTGTTTCGTTTATACTGACGCATTCTGTGTGAAGTTCAACAGATGAAATCAACTTTAATATACAGGGTNATGCACATCAGCCATTTCCTCATTTGTGTATGCCATTTTAATAACAAGTGAATTATTAAAGTAACAAATTGAGAACAGAACAACAACACACAATTAGTATTATTTCAATTTCGAAAATTCACAAACTGATAGCGTCATACCAATTTAATTGTCACTATCGCTAATAGAGACCTACTAAATAGATTAGTTTCGTATTTTCGCATTTATGACGATGTATCTCTGTAGTTGTTCCTAAAATAATTTTTTGCTGCAAACTGGTTTAAAGAGACATTTTTTGTCTAGTATGAAACAGGCTATCGGAAATAAATCTTTAAATGGTAAACACATAATAAGACAAAAAGTTACATTGGAGATAAATTTTAGGGGTTGCATTTTCCACCCCTTACAACAATGGGGTAAACCAAATAAATTTCTGGCTCAGTGTCTTTTTGGTAGTACAAAACGTTAGGTTAATTTCAATATTGTAACTTTTTTAGTGTTTGTGAAAAAAATTGTTATACAAATTTTATGAACCCCCTTTAAGAGGCTGTATCTTAACAAGGAATGCTCCAATGAAATTTCTTTATATGAAAGATTGTATCTTTTTTTTGAATGAGGAATCACCTCCTTAAATGTTTTACACTTATTTAGTTATACCCTGTATATATTGAATATACTAAATGAATAACTCCTATTCATGCATAACTTTCATGAAAAAATCGTATATTACTTCTACAGGGTGACTCATCGAAAACGTAACGCAAGGCATAACTGTCAGAGGAAGAACTTTTTGCAAAAATCCAAAAACAATTCACGGTTGGTCGTGAGCGGGACCTTAGAATTATTTCAAAATCTTCAACCCTCTTGCAGAGGTATCTTGTCTCAAATTAATTTTTGCATGTGAGGGGTCAAATGATACTTTTAAGAAAAGGGCTTTTGAATCTCCTATTGCAGCTTAAATCGGTTTGCTCTTTTGAAAATTATGGAGCTATGAAATGCCAACAAACTCGCCGTATCGATCACCTCATTGACACAATTTATCTTCAAATCTTTGTTGTGCATTTTGGAGCACTAGCGATGTCACTTCACATCAAATTCTTCCTCGAAGAGCTTCTAATGGATGCGAGACATTTCGTTATTCATGTCTCACCACAAAAAAGTTTAAAGGACTCAAATCTGGTGACTGAGAAGGCTATTCGATTGCAACCATTCGTCATTGTCTTGTTGAAACACAATTTTCTCTTCAATATATGTAAGATCATTCCTCATGATGTGAGTAGTTCAACTTATGAGGATTTTGTGTAGCGCCTAAATAATTCTGGCACTGATATCGACCCTGTTGCGACAATTGTGTCGATTAACTACGCTGTTCATGAAGAAAGTACACTATCCCTAAAAATACACATTGAATATCGCTCTCGCTCATAATTCAGTTTTTGCACTAACTAAACCTTATACGAATGAACTTATACTTTTTTAGTTTCACTTGTACTTCATAGTGGCCAATTTTTTGTACTAAACTTACTTTCCACTACAATTTGTTCTAATACTCCTTTGTCTATGGCTTCATTGATTACAGGATTTTTCTTCTGTTTTTTTATATCGAATTGATCTGAAATGTTTCCACTAATTCGCGAAATTTTTCTATTATTATGCCCTTGATTGAATAGCTCGGCAAACCGATTTTCACCCTCATAATTTTTGAAAGAATTTCAATTATTTCTACCCTATCCGTAATTTCTGATAAATTCAAGAAATTATAAAATAGTTTTAAACACCTCACCACAAGACAGACTATGCCTATCTGATGAGTGGAACTGGATGGGACGGATGAAGGAGTGCCATTGACTGTCCTCCTTAGTGACCCGACTTGAGTCCTTTAGATTTGTTTCTAAAAACAATCAAATTAGATCACGGAGCGACACCGCCAGTATCTCAAAATGTACAGCAATGTTTTGAAGATTTATTTATTTATTTATTTTCTTTGAAATACAAAACGGGACAAACCCAAAAAGAGTATTCACAAATGATGAGGTGAAAATAACAAATGATTTTATGGTTATGAATAATGTGCAATATCGTGTTATGAACAGTTATTAATCAAGTGCAGTGCAAATTATAATAGATATGAAAATGGTGATTGTATGAGCGCGTTTGAGACACGTTGTGAAGGTTGCGAAGGAATCAAAAAAGATTTGGATATAGAGTTGAAGAATTTACAACACCTATTTAGGAGAAAATTCAAATAGTTATTAGTTTTACTTTGGTTTGATTGGAAACAATATACTCCTCTGGTATTATACAGAGGTACATTAATCAAAAGTTGGTTCAATATAGAACTGTTGTCATAACAATTATTCAGTATTTTATATAGTAACTTAATAACAGCTTTATGGCGTCTATCCGCCAAAGATATCAGATTGAGTTGTATTTTAATCTGTAATGGATCGTTGAGATTATGAAATAATTTTCTATTGATACAGGTGACGAATTTACTTTGTATAGATTGAAGACTTTCAATATATGAGATATACAAGGGGTTCCAAATAACTGAAGCAGAACTGAGGTGGCTATTTACATGAGCCATGTAAAGTGTAGGAAGTTACTATTAAGGAAGTCGCGACAAGTGTTGATCAGAAATCCAAGAGCTTTATTGGCTTTTTTGCAATATAGTTATTATGTGAGTTAAATAATAGCTTAAAGTAATTTATACTCCTAAGTTCTTGACTTCAGATGTTTTCTTTAGTTGCTGTCTGTTCATATGATATTGGTGGTGGTAAATATTTTTTTATTGTAAATGTAATAGAGTGGCATTTTTTGAGATTGAGGAATGAAGAGTTTTTCTCGTAGAATTTCACAAGATTATTGATATCGTTCTGAATGAGGAGTGAATCGTTGGAACATGTCACAGTATGGAATACTTTCAAGTCGTCAGCATACATTAAAAAAATTGCAGTCGAAGAAATAACTAGATATATCGTTAATATAAATGTTGAAGAGGAGAGGCCCCAGATGAGAGGCTTGAGGGACTCCGGAAGTAGTATCAATGAATCTAGAACAAAATGTTCCCAAAGTGACTGCCCGAGACCTGTTTATAATATACGACCGAAACTATCTTAGCAGATAACCGTGTTTACCGATTTCCGCCAGCTTGTCGAGTTAAGTTACATGATCTATCTTGTCGAATGCCTTGCTGAAATCGGTATAGATGGCATCAACCTGATAGCCTTTATCCATGCTCTTCAAGAGATATTCAGTAATGCAATGTTTTACAAATCCATGCTGTTCATTATTGATTGAGGATCCAACATCAAAGTATATGTAGTCAGAAATGATTCATTTAAAAAGTTTGGAAATTAAGCAGAGTTTCGATATCTATAGGGCGATAGTTTTCAAACAATAACTTATTATCACTTTTGAAGATGGGAACTACAAGTACAGTTTTCCATATTTTTGGAAAGAGCCTTCTATGATAGACTTATTTAATAAATTGAATAGGATATGAGACATTTCTTGAGGGCATTGTTTTAAAAAACAAGTGGGTATATGGTATAATCTGTATTATTCAATATGGCAAGTTGTTAAATAAAATCCATCAAATTCAGGATAAAGTATTGTTGTCTCTTAAACATGCGAACTGATTTTCGAAAACGAACGAAAAATGATACCACTTTTTATAGGATTAAAGGTTTTGCAATGGTTTTCAGATCATAACTTGTTCTCGACTTGTCTTGTAATATCTGCGAGAAATTTCTCCCCTGATATTAATCACTTGCGGTACATTTTCGATGGACTTCCTTGTATAATCATTCTAAATTCAATCGAACAATGAACAAAATTAAGGTACCTGCCAATGGAGGTCCTATCAAATTTCCCACTCCTTGTGAAAGTAAAAGCAAACCGTAGGCCATGGTAAAGTCATCCAATGAAACAAGTTCAGCTAGAAGAGAAGGTGTCAACGACATGGAGCTTGCGAAAAATAAACCAAAACATCCACCGCTTATCACTAACACGATATAATTCGAGGTGAACAAAACCATTGCGCCTATAGTCACCCCGCATAAAATTAAACAGATAGCATACGATTTGGCAACATTTATTCGATCTCCTGCTGCTCCCAGAAGAACCTGAAAAGATGAACATTATCAATGACTCAAAAAATCATATTTCATAAAGATAACGTTTCTCAATGGTTTATGGAGGTTTTAGATTGACAAACTGCTCGTCTATTTTTAATCAATATAATCCATAGCAATTATATACAGGGTGTACTAAATTAGTGTAAAACATTCAAGGAGGTCATTTCTCATAGAAAAACAGATAGGATCTTTCATATTAAGAAATTTCTTTGGAGCATCCCTTGTTAAGATACAGTCCCTTAAAGGGGGTACATAAAATTTGTATAACAATTTTTTTTACAAGCATATCCCCGGATCTCAATCCTCTCGATTCCTCTATTTGGGGCCATCTACAGCATTTGGTTTATCGTACTCCTGTTCGCGATGTAGAGGACTTAAGAAGAAACCGGTGCAGGGTAATCAGAGAGACTCCCGGAATATTTGAGCGAATACGTGGCTCAATGCGCCGACCTCTAAATGCATGCGTAATGTCTGAAGGTAGACATATTGAACATTTACTATGATTTCTACATGTTATGTGTTTTGTTATTAATAATAGTATATTATGCAATGATCATGTAATGATGGTTATTAAGACACGAGCATTAACCGGGATACGAAACGAGCCGAAGGCGAGTTTTGTATAGTATATGTGAGTGTATTAATAACCATTATATGAGAGTTGCATACGCTATTTTTTTCTAAACCCGATAAATAATGAAAAACTATAAATATTATATTTGTACATATTGAACACATTTACAGTAATTAACTCATATTAAAAAAAAAAAAAAAAACACAAACTTAATGGTATTATCATGGATATATGAAAACTATAAAGATTCTAATTATATTTATATTGAATATAACAACTGTAATTAATCTGATATTTTAAAAATATTGGAGTCGATGGTATTCCTTCTATATCGCTGTTTTCAGACATTTTGATAATATAGGTAGGTAATATGAAAACTGATTTTGACAAATAAAGCAATTAGTTACTTAGGTTAGAATCTAGGACAAATAAAGGAACAGGATTCTTGATTGAAAAATTATGGGTTTCTATTGGTTGATAATCTGTATCGTTATGAAAAATCTGTATCATAATGGATATCATTATGAAACGGATTATGATCATATAAGTGTAGGTATTGTTAGAGTACGGGTGTAGAAAAATTAGTTTTGTTTATTACCCTTCAATCGTTTAATGCAGGTACTAAATACAAAATAATAAATCCAGTTCGCATTTATGACGATGTATCTCTGTAGTTGTTTGTAAAATAATTTTTTGCTGCGAACTGGTTTATTTTGGGCAAAAAATCCAAGAGACATTTTTTGTTGAGAATGAAACAGGCTATCGGAAATGAATTTTTAAATGGTAAACAAATAATAAGACAAAAAGTAACATTGGAAATAAATTTTAGTGGTTGCGTTTTCCACACCTCACAACCATGGGGTAAACCAAATAAATTACTGCCTTTCTGGTAGTACAAAACGTCAGGTCAATTTCAATATTGTAACTTTTTCAGTGCTTGTGAAAAAAATTGATTTTATGTACCCCCTTTAAGGAGCTGTATCTTAACAAGGGATGCTCCAATGAACATTCTTTATATGAAAGATCGATGAGGAATCACCTCCTTAAAGGTTTTACACTTATTCAGTTACACCCTGTATTTTTTATTCAAGACATGGTGATCTAGATATAACTAGAGCAGCTGCCATTATTCTAATCAGTGATATTTTTCTCCATCGAGAGTGTTAGTTGCATTTATTAATATACAGGCCTGAATGAGAGAGTTGCCTTCTTTATTAGAATGTCATCTTCGAGTCGAGAGAAAACGCAAACCCAGTCCAAACCATAGCCGAGAAATGAAGCAATCGTCATCTATCATCAGCTTGGCTTTGTAACGGACCGCTGTCTATTATGTCATTGATACTCGTGGTTTGAATCTTCTGCCGATCTCACAGATAGCGTATTTGTGGGGACAGTTATTGAAAATCCAAACCCAGTTATTGAAAATAGACTGGAATCCTGGGCACCGGTCTATTGTAAAGGCACCGGTCTATCTTTGAATGTAAATAAAACAAAATGTGTGAGATATCACCGTTGATGCCATTATGTGTGGAATATAATATCGTTCAAACGTCCGCCCCGGCTTCTCTGGGTGGAGCGCATTCGAAACTTCCAATTTTTCATAACTCTGGCGCATAAATCAGGCTAAATTTGACCGATGCCATGGGTCATGCTTTGAGGGCCGCTGTGGTTTGTAGATTATTCGCATACACCTGCGACTTAAGAAAACCCCACAAAAAAAAGTCTAACAGGGTCAAATCGCACGCTCTCGGTGGCCAGTTTATATCACCTCCACGTGAGACGACCAAGCCCTCAAATCGCTCGTGCAGAATATCCAATGTAGCATGAGCTGTGTGACACGAAGCGCTGTCTTATTGAAACCACATGTCGTAGGTGTCCAGATCATCCAATTAAGGCCAAAAGAAGTTGGTAATCATCGACCAACGTCGTTCTCAAAGAAGTATGGGCCGATAACACCGCCAGCCCAAAATCCACACCAAACAGTGACGTTTTCGAGATGCATTGGACGCTCTTGGATCTCGTGTGGATTGGTATCGTCCCAAATTCGATAATTTTGTTTATTCACCTACGCCTTCATCTTGAAATGGGTCGGTAGCCAGGCGGTTGGACGTGGGTGCTTTGTTCACTCAGTCAATCGGCCGATGTGTGAGTCGATGGTTCAAGCCCCAGGCTGAACAATCGATTTTCACTTGCTATCGTCCAACCCGTGTTAGGAATCACACGTTGAAAGGTAAGACCTCATTAGTTCTTAGCTCGCACAAGTTTCGGCTTCTGAGGGTGTCGTTCGTAGGGGTGCGATAGCTGGTTAACGAAAAAAATATATTTCAAACATAATTTTTCATTGCTGAAGATGATTTTTCGATGATAATCAATTCTCCTGCACACTGTCACAGACAGCGGCGATGTTTTCCGCATATCTTGCGTTTCCTCGACGTACGGGTGTTGGTCGATCGTTTACTGAACCTGTGGACTCAACTTCATCCACCATATTGCTAATGGTCCTCTCGGTAAGACGATGATGGCGACCGCAAAATTGGCGAAGCGCGCGGTACGTTGTCCGAAACAGAACACCTATTTTGATTAAACTATTTTATTAATTGCACGTGTTTTTGAATGTTATATCCATCCATGGTAATTTGTCAAAACAGACTGAATCAATGACAACTAATTTGACAGCTCTACCTTCAACAAGCTATTATCAATTGTTCAGTTGTATCATAAAATACAATGACCTAAAAGATAATCCAACATAAATTTTAGGATAATAAATATATTCCTATGTATTCATTTCAAGCTGTTAGAATTATTGAAATTGGTGTTTCACATTATTAGGTGGGACTTTAGCTGGTTGGGTTGGCGTGAGTGTTTGTTTCACTCATTCAATCGACCGTCAGGTGAGACGATGGTTCGAGCCGAGGGGGGCCGCTCAACCCGTAGCTCGCACAAGTTTCGACTTTTGAGAGTTGTCGTTCGCAGCATGGCGACAGCTGGATTACGGAAAAACATTAAACAGATTATTGAATGATGTGAAGAAGAATTGATCATTTTTTCTATTGAGAAAATAAATATTTCGAATTGAAACATTCATCTCCTCCAACGTTATAGCTAGAAACTGCCTGCCTTGTTAGGAAACTTGCACAGATGTCTGTCGGATATGGTGTAATGTCCGTCGTGTTATCAGCTAGGGAAGTAGTTTCCGTCAGGTAAATGCTTAGAATTTTAATTCGAAATATCTATGTTTCAATACGTATCTCTTTTCAATACAGTCATTAGACTGATTTTGATTTCAATATTTTTTCTGTAATGTCAGTGATTTTAAGAATTATGTAACATTTTTAGACTTACAAAAATAGTTTTTTATTCATATTTAGAGCACTATTAACTACATGCAGTGCATTAATTTATAAAAGCATTTAAATTATGAATTCAGTTAGAGCTTCGGAAAAATCTCCGGTATTATCTCTTCTGAAAATATACCATTAAAAGTGAATTTTCATAATATTACTTTTCCCTTGACTTCCCTTGCTCGCTACTATCGAGAAAGGACTATCTAGTATTTTCTTGTCGAGACATGATGAGACAAGGGACTAGAGTGTCTTGTCTTGGTGGCAATACTATTGATTGTATAAATGTAGTTGAAGTCAGGGTGTACATTTCGTATCTTTGGATATTTTATAGATAACTGTCTCCATAAAAGTCAAATATAATATAAGAAAGCTTTTACCATTCCAATTGTGTTTGTGATACCAATAACAGATATCACAAGGGAAGCATCGCTATCAGTATATCCACTTCTTGTCATATGTTCTGCCAAATAAAAATATGGAACTACAAACCATATACACAAAATCATCATGGACAACGAGAGCAGAAGAAAATGTAGGTCCAAAAATAACGAAAACGTGGTTAAACCTTTCAATATATCTATCAGTTCTTCATACCAAGTCTGAAAATAAAAAACAGAACTTTGAAATTTAAAACAACTAAATAGTGAGTTGGCAATGAATAAATCATTTGAAATCATTATACGTATATTCACATAACATTTCATAATTTCATATAGTGAGTGGGGAGACGTATATTCTTTTCTAGAAACAGTATGGAAGCAAATCTCAGCTTTGAGACAAATACTACCTGGGCTAAAAAGTCTCGGACTTAACATATAGATGGCCCTAGTCTTATTGCATTCACCACTTTTTCAGTTAGTACTAAACTTCAAAAGAAAGCTGGTGAAATTTTTTGATATTCTATTCATAAGTTTGTGAGTTATTGTGCTAAGAGTGACACTACTTTTGTTATTTTCAAAACAATGGATGGAAAACAATTTCGTGTTTTGATTTTACATCGCTTTTGATGGGAAAATGAACCGTTCAAGCAAAGCAATGGCTTGACAAGTGTTATAATGACTCGGCTCCATCACAAACAACAATTAAATGTTGGTTTGCCGACTTCAAACGTGGTCGTAGATACACCGATGAAGCAGAACGCAGTGGACGTCCAATGAAGCAGTAACACCAGAAAACACTAAAAAAATCCACAAAATCGTTTTGAATGATCGAAAAGTGAAGTTGCGTAAGTTAGCTGACATTGTAATGATATCAAAAGCAACTGTTGGCTTTACATTGAATGAGCATTTGACTATGAGAAAGCTCTGTTCAAATTGGTTGCCGCGCGAGCTCACTGTTGACCACGAACAAGAACGTCTTGATGATTCTGAGCAATGTTTGGCCATGGTTAAACAAAACAAACCGGAATTTTTGCGTTGATATGTGACAATGGATGAAACATGGATGCACCACTTCACTCCGAAATCAAAACTATCGTCATCTGAGTGGAGAGCAACTGGTGAACCTCGTCCAAAGCGCCCGAAAGCACAACAATCGGCCGGAAAGTTTATGGCCTCGATATCTTGTGATATGCGTGGTGTAATATTCATCGACTATTTTGAGAAGGGAAATACCATCAACAGTGAATATTATATAGCTTCATTAGAGCGATTGAAGGTCGAAATTGCGAAGAAACGGCGCATATGGTAAAGAATAAAAATGTGTTTCATCAAGACAATTGCGAATTGCTCTCACATCCACCGTATTCGCCAGATTTGTCTACCAGCGACTATTGGCTGTTCGCAAACCTCAAAAAAATGCTCACTGGTAAGAAATTTCGCTCGAATGAAGAGGTTATTGCTGGAACTGAAGCCCATTTTGAGGTAAAAGATAAATCGTTCTACAATAGTTGTATTGAAATGGTAGAGCGGCGCTGCAATGAGTGTGTGGCTCTAGATGGGGATTATGTTGACGAATGAAGCCAATTTTGACCGAAAAAACGAGTTTCTTCCTTAAGCTCGAGAATTTACAGTTCATGTGTTACAGTGCTTTTCCTCCATTCATAATCAATATATTGTATTCAACTTTTCACTTCAATATTTCAACATGTTATTTTTGATTTTTTGCATAATAAATAACTAAAAACAGTTATATTACCTTTGTCATCATTGATTAAAGTTGTTCACAATTTCAATAAATTTTTTTTACTGGGCTCTTACAATACCTACATGCGTGAGACAGATATAACTCCTAATATTGAATAAGTTAGCAATTTTCTGTTCAGATTATGGACATTACTACTAACTTTTTGGTTCCGGTGCAGGTGTTTTCAGTCGCAGACCCAGGACAGAGATGTCAACCTGCCTAGGAACCTATGCGACTGCATTTCAAGCGGAATTTTACGCTATTGAATTGTGTGCAGGGAGATTAGAAGACTTACCTCAAACACAAGTCAATAAAAATAGTCTCGGACAGTCAAGCGGCGTTGGAAGCTCTTGGCTCCCACCGAGCAACGTCTAAATTGGTAGCAAATTGCCAAAAACGGCTGTCCTCGATAGGAAGACTTAACAGATTGTCTCTGGTCTGGATTCCTGGCCATACTGGCCTGGAAGTCAATGAGGCTGCTGACTCCCTTGCAAAGGAGGGTGCCGCAAGCAGCTTCATCGGACCAGAACCTGTCATTGGCATCGCTTTAGGCTTTGCCAAACAAAGTTCGAGAACACCTGTTTGGCAAGAAGATTTATGGACTTCTGGCAGAATCTTCCAGGACTGGCTCACTCCAAGTCGTTAATTCATTCTTCGAAGATTGATACCAAACAGTTGTTGGACTACAGTAGGGATGAACTACGATGTCTAACAGGCCTTCTTACAGGTCACTGTCAATTGAATCATCATATGCAGAGACTCGGACTGTCGGAAGACAGTCCGAGTATCTGCATATACTTTTGTGCCTGCGCCGCTGGGAACCGAATCAGGTTTTTAGAGTTCGGCATAGCCGTACTCGTACCATCTGACCTGAAAGACCACTCACCATACAAACTAATCGGCTCCGTTAAGAAGCTGGGTTTATTTGGTCGAGTGTGAATAGGCGTGAGCCACAATAAACCCTTGTGGGTTGCGGTGGAAGGTCTAATAGACCTATTCACTTTGGACCTAACCTAACCTAACATAACCTAACTAAAAGGTTACTTTAAATTCCTTCATTTACGAAGAGTGTTAAAAAAAAGAGTAACATTCGATATAATAAGAAAAAGTAAAAAATTTAGTTTCAATATGTCTCTCAAAATACCTACCTCTCCTTCGTTGAAAAGGACATTCATAGAATTTTTATAAATATCGGGACAGCTAGAAGCTTTCACCTTATATTTATGTATGTTCAACATAGCTCCTCTGTAACCAATGGAATTTTTTCTGAATCTAACGTTTTTCAAATAAGTATGGGGCTGCATTTGATTTCTTGCTTTCACAGATATACTTCTCAGTAACTGGATCGGTTTGTATCCACCAGAGGCATCAAGTGCAGATTCTTTGATATCAACAACGTTATTTTTATGTGTTTCTACATTTTCTTCCTGGGCTATACCAGAAGGTATTTTTGTCGGCACAGGATCTTCAGTCTTTTTGAGTTTCATAGAAAATTTGACGGGTATTCTAGAAGTATGTGTATTGGTTGGCATTTTATTGATCCCCCTTTCAGATGAACTTTTGCATGAGAGTAGATTCGGGTAATTTTCTAAAATAATGTTGTATATTCGTTTATTTTCACTCAGTTGCTTAAGAACTTCTAAAGGAACCTGAAATTGATGTTTTAAGACCGTTATTAAATCGTAAATATGTTTGGAAGCACCTTTTCATTTTTTCTGACGAATGTTGGTAAATCTACAACAGAATTGAATTTATGTTCTTTCGAAAGGTCAAAAATTGTGTCAATATCCTGGAGTAGATACTGGGTATCTCCTCCTTCCTCTAAAGTATGTTTTATATCTTCAAGACATTCTGTGTCTATCGAAGAAGCACTTGATTTACGTCGTTTTTTCAGCTTTCTCTCTTCTTCTCTGAAAATGTTGTTTCCATTATTATCATTAAGCAATAACACGAAAGGAGTATATTTACTAGTGAAAAACGTTAAAAAAATTGAAAGTGAATTAACTTGTAATTGATAACATTTTAATTCATTCAACTAGTTTAGTGATCCAATAATTTTTCTAAAAAGAATTTCTTAAAAAACAATTGTTTTTTGCCGACGTTTCAAATTCAATTGAATTTTTTTTAGGGCTCTGTAACAATGAATTTTTTTAAATATACCTTCCACAAAACTTATACGATTATTATCGTTTCAATTTCTCAAGAAATAATGAGTTCTTGATTGAATTACTCACCGAAAAATAGTTTTCTCGTGTTGATAATACTACTATTTTAAAAACCATCAGACATATTAGATACATATTTAAAAAAAATAAATATTGCAACAAACAAATTTCCGAGACAACACCAATACAAAACGACATGAAACAAATAAATGGCTTTATCTGTGATTCTGATAAGGTGGTGTCCGTTTTTCAATCGATGACTGAAAGAAAAAGAATGAAAAAAGGATAAATTATTAAGGTATTTTACTTATCAAATTGAAATATGCAGTATTAATACCATCGACATCTCTTCTAGTGTTAACACTATCGCATTTGAGGTTATGTATAATTTCGCTCAAAAGTTTTTTTGGATAATTATGGTTGAACATCTAGAATAGTTGTTCAACGAGAGCTGTGGGGTTTTTTATATTCAGTTTCTTAGAGTCTCTCATGTGTTCTGAAAGTCGTATTTCAAGATACCGTTCAGTTTGACCAACATAGCATTTGTGACAGCTTCCACAGTTCAATCTGTACACTATATTGGATTGTATTTCGTGTGGTGTTTTTGTTTTTTGTTTCGAGAAAAAAAATGCTTACAAACAAATTTTTGTGTTGGGTATGGGTAATTGTATGTCACCCATTTGTGCAGACTTGGTCATGGCAGAACTAAAAAATATATGCATTGAAAAGTTGTCATTTTCATTGCCTTTTTAATTCATATCTTTCTACTCAAAAACTCAAGAGGATCATTTACTTTGAGATACAAAATACATCATTGATATACAGTTTTCCTAAAAGAAGTTCACAAATTTGAAATCTATGAAAAGAAACCACAAAAAGAAATATTGAAAAAAAACATTGAATCAAAAATACGGAAAATACCAGGATAAAAATATTTGGTGCCTGAAATAAAAATAAATCAATACATGGGTTCAAACAATGAGTGGAATGTCAATATTATGCAAATGAAAAAATTAAATAATGAAGATTAATGATGAAAAATTGCAAATAAAATGAAAATCAAGATAGGAGATTTCAAACTAAGCTAATTCACGACGTGTCTATTGTTAGCAGCCATAATCGAATTCGAATGTCCAATATCTATGATGATTTCAAGTACTTAATTTGTCCCATTAACGAAGAATGTGAAAAATGGCCAGAATTTATTACATTGAGAATTACTACAAATGAAAAATACAATTTCAGTATTGTTTACTAGGTTAGTAGAAATTTATAACTAGAAATAAGTTATAAAATATGAGGTGTTTTGTCTAAATGTACGGGAATCGCATTTCGGCGATTTATTAGTGGTTACTTCGTCATCTGTACATACAGATCAACATGAATTCAATAGCTGGGGTTTGAATTCATACTACTGAACTATGTTCATCTAACAAAGTATCCGGAACAATGATTGATGCGTGATCAAAGCATGATCACATGAACATTTGCATCTATTGGGTGAAACAAACAAGCCTCCTCACGCTGGCCAATCAGATTTAACTGCAATCGGCTGACGGAATTGATGTTACAGTGTCGAAGTAGTCAGTTACGTTTAAACGTAACTGTGATGTGTACATATACGGTATTTTAGAGTTTGAAATTTTTAATATGTACTGATACGGCTGAAGAAACTGCTAATTTGTGCCCCTACCATCCACTTCAAAAATTTCCCATACCCAGCTGCATTTTATTGAAATTAAATTCGGTTGTTCCTTAGTGCGACTCTGTACAAGCAACCTTGTCTGGGAGATCACGTGCACTATGTTGCTTAGATGGACAGAGTATAGGATATTCTTTTTTTTTTCTGATTGATTCGGCCGTTACTTGATGAAGATCCATAGTAATTTCAAAAACTACACGACTTGATCTCCAATTAGGTCAGGTTGGGTATATATTGAATATATTCAGTCAGAAGTCAGAGATTTTGATGATATTTTTCTGGGAAAAATTTGGGCCGCAATACTGACATTGTTTTCCATTTCAAATACCTGTTACTTGNAAACTTGTGCTGAGTTCTCTAAATTTCTTAATTTCACATATTTTATTGTAGCATTTGATTCCTATATAATTGGGATTCTCCTGTCCGATTGATAATCTAGAGAAACATAAATTGATGGTGTCCTTCTGCCGCGTATTATGATTGTGAACATCCTTTCTTGTTTTGAGAGAGTTATGTTTATTTATGATGTGAACAATTATTGAGTAAATGTACAAGCTTGGTAATGACATAATACCCAGCTCAACAAAGTGGTTTTTACAAGATGTTTTGCTAGATAAATTCAGCATGCACCTTATAATTTTTTTTTGAGTGATAAATAATTGACCACTATTATGGGCTTTTCCCCAGAAAATCAGACCATATGACAGGCATGACTGAATAAGGCCAAAATATAGTAGTTTCAGTACTTCCATTGACACTGTGTTACGCAAGTTTCTAATAATGAAGCAATATGAGCTCAGTTTTGAGGATGTATGTTCAACATGATCGTTCCATGTGAGTTTTTGATCCAAGTGGACCCCTAAAAATTTTGTACAGGTCGAGTTTTCTAATGATGTTTCTTCAGTTTTAAGTAGTATGCTCTGGTTCACAGTGGCATTTTTTGTATTAAAGTAAACAGCTATTAACTTGTCTATATTCAGAGATATGTTATTATTACCACACCATTGGGTTATGTTTTTGATAGAAGGGGGGGGGAATAAAGAAATGCACTGTAGAAGTTTCAATGAATCCAGCTACGAATCCTCCATAAAACGTGTTAGTCAAGAAAAAGTTCTTCAAGACTGTTTGTATTTATTATAGTTTCATAGCAGTTCTAAAAACTATATGTGTTCGAAGGCTGAATGTTCAAAATTTTCACCATTCACTTCCCGACAATAATGAACATTGGTTAACAAAGTTATTTTACACATTTAGAAATATACCTGGGGTAATTTCATTGCAAGTTCTTTGTCTCTACCCACGAGTTGCTGTTGTGTATCGTAGGTACAGTTTAGACACAGCAGAATAATACAACCAGTAGGCTATCTCAACACGTGATCCGCCCAAGTTGCCGGGGACCTTCAACCGTTCTTAGGATGAGATTGTCATCCAACGCCTTCAGTGCTGTAGTATCGAAGGATTCGACGGCCGTCGGATTAGTTATACTAAACGGTCGGAAATTGATAATGTGTTTAGTTTA